GGCTCGTGGGGGGCATTCCCTGCGCCCTGAGGGGGGGGTGGGCCCTGCAGGAGGGGGGGTCTGCTTTGTATCAATTAGCGTCCGTGGCCTTTAAAGCCATTCATTTGCGAAGAAAAGTGTCTGCTTAAATTGATTCTACAGTCGTCAGGTGGCTCCAGCGCTCTGGGGCGGCGCCTGCCCCAGCGCCTGGCTTCCGGGTTGTTCATTTCGGGGGGAAAAGGAAGTTCAGCTCGCTTCGCATATGGCGGGAAGACCTTTGACGCCATGGAGTATTTATGTCTTTGTTTTCAGTCATTCTTTCGGTGCGATTTGTCTCCTTGTGTTTACCGGAACTGCCAGTTCACACAGCTGTAGGAAGGCGCCTGGTGTTTGCTTCCTGTTTGTTTCCGTATCTGGAACCGTGATAACGTCCCCAGGGCCGGGAAGGGCAGCCCTGGTTCCTGCACCCTCATCAGGCGTGGAAACATCACACCCTGAGCGCAGGCAGAGGAGCAAAAACAGCCTCAGGAACAACCACGAACACACCAGAGTCAGCTAGGAAAAATCTCCTCTCCCAGCCCTGCCTGCGGCCACTGGTAAGGTCCGGGGCCGCTCGCATCCTCTCCCTGCCTGACGGTCTCCGCCGACCAGCAGCAGCCCAGTCCCAGGGTTTGCTGTGCGACAGGTGGGTAGGGAAAAATAAATGCTGAGCAAGAAACCTCTCCACTCGTTTCAGACCTTTGTAAAAGTGTTGTTCCGATTTGCACCATTTCCAGTGAGAGTGAATGGCACTTTGAAGAATTACATCAAGGCAAAATATTGTATTTGGCATTGAAATTCAGATTTGATAGCTGGTTTAGAAATGCCTGGACCACACAGTCAGTGCCAAACGCTACAGTTTTCGTGTTCCGTAATATTCTTCAGTAATTGCTCCAAGTCTGCTACAGAGAAAACAGTGCACAATCAAGGCGAATACTAATTGCTAATACTTTGACCAAAGTCATATGATTTGGCTTTCTGATTTTTTAAAGTTTCAAAGCTTGTTTTTGCTTTATTTTCTGTTGTAAGAGTTCTCGATGCGAAGTGCCACTTACATGCTCGCCGCGGCTCCTGAGGTTCGTACGTGGGCTGCGTAAGTAATAACAACCAAGGCGCGGTAAATTTCCTGAGGATTAATGACCGTCTGGGAGGAGATGAAGGTCAGCACCACAGGCAAGGATCATTAACCCAGGCTGGTCATTAATCTCAAGAATTTACCTCGTGCCAAGGTCAGTATTGTTATTTCAAGCTGAAAATGAAAAAAATGTGGCCATATGAATTTTTGTTTGATAGGTTTAACTGTAACATCTAGCATATTTTAGAAAAAAATAATTTTATTTGGGAGAATTACATTAGCTAATCACACCACCCGCCCACCTTTCAGTGTTTGATGAGTTTTGCTTTCTTTAACACACATACTGGTCTATGACAGGCAGAAGGGATTTATAACGTTCTTCTTCCATGTGCCAGTGCTGTGGACCTATTAAATGGTGGCCTTGTTTATCCATCTGTTTACAAGTTTTGATTTCCATCCCAAATTTTATGTCCTAGATCTTACTGACATCTCTCACACAATATTTGTTTGATTGAACATCTGTTCAAGTTATTAGAGTTTCGAAAGTGATGTTTCAGAAGATTGTTGTATGTAGAGTGAGGGCATTACAGATAACTACAGGGTTTCTACAATTTAGGGAGCATTTATGCCCTTTAGAAAGCAGCACTCTCTTTAGAAGAAAAATAAAATGGCAATTTTTATATCTAACTTAATATTCACATTCGCATTTACTATTTATTATTTATCTTCTGGTATTTAAATTAACACTGCCAATTAATCCTTTCTGTAGCTATACATCCTATTTCTATGTCAGTACACATATGCTGGCCTTAAAAGACTTCAGATTCTCCCTGATTAGGAAGGATCCAGACATCAGCTCAGCGGCACGCTTCATGAGGGCAGACTCCCCCCCCCAACTTTCCTGAAAAAAGTCTCCAAAAAAACAGGTGATGTCAGTCCTTGTGTTCAGGCACCAAAGGTGCCCCAGGAGATCAAATGTCCCCCAACTCTGCTGGCACATTCCAGTTTACCATTGATACAGGTGACAGCTGAAGAAAACACGTACAGACTTAGCAAAAGGAAAATAAATTGCAAGTTATCTTATACAATGTAAGAAATATTTAGATCTTTCTAAAGAAAATAACATTTTCCTTGTTTCAAGGTGGAGCTTGCCTTCTGTTTATAATGTTTCTTCTTGCTAGGAAATTCGTCCCTGTGAGTTCCTCCTCAACTTCTCAGCCTTTGCAGCTTTAAGTCTCCACTCTTTTATTTCCCTCTTTGCTCCCAGCTGGGGATTTGCTGCTGAAAGGGACCAAATGCATCTTTGAGTCCAGTCCTCCAAGGCTGCCTGCAACTGTGCAATGGACGCACATCTACAGAGCTTTGACTACATTCAACCCAACTCGCCACAGATCACAAAGCATTTTCTAACATTTCTTACAAACTTTAGCTCCACACTAAGAGACCGAAGCGAGAATGTCATGTGCTACACACAGGCAGGGGGAGTGACAAGGATCCGTTGCAGCAATTTTCCTTGCTCGGCCATATCCTGTTTCCAGCTGAGGTCAATCTGCAACGCTTTAGAGCATGGCTCACCAACCAGGCACCCTGAAGATTTTAATACAATTCTAAATCACCTCATTTATTCTTACTGACAGATGTTATGTCTCTACTTGTAACATATTTTTAGTATTTCCTTTAAAATATATTAACAGGTGTGCATGTGAAAAACGGACAGCTTAAGGAGGTTGTTGTTACTGGACAAAGACTCAATTTGAGTGTAATCCAATGAAAATGTTACGTTATGCAGCCTTACAAGCCAAAAAAAGAAAAAGTTCCCAAATCTCACATCCTGATTGTAGATTAGGCTAACTCAGCCAGAAAAAAGCTAATCTTCAGGCTCCTTTCCACAATATATTCAGTTTCTTCTTTCAGTCATGCTCTTTTGTATCTTCTACTTTCCCTTAAAAAACTTAGGAAACATACTTAAAAAAAAGGTCTTGATGTAAAGTTATTTGAAAATCTGCATATCCCATGAAATACAGGATTGCTTCATTACTTATTAAGTGCTAGCCAGTATTTGTTGCTAAGATAAGCCATAGCAAATGTGGACTCCCATCCACAGCCCGTAGTATTAAGTTAGACTATTTTGGTGGCAGTGTTACTCTTGACTGGCTTGTACTGTGACAGAGTCCTTCATTATGGGCCAAATTTTGCTATTCTTTTTTTGACTGAGCAATGTATGATTTCAGAAATGATTCAGCTAAAATAGCGTTATGCGAATAGCTATGACCTGAACTTTTACAATGATCAGTCACCTACAATATATACAGCTATAGACAACATATATTTTGCATAATGTTACTGTCTTTTTCCTAAGTCTGTCAAGATGCTTCATTTTTATAACCCTCAAGAAAATCTTTCCTCTGAGGTGCCTGATGACATACTCTATCCGGTACCTACTAAGCTTGCTGCATCAACATCCAGTGTTCTAGGGCACAGCTGCCTAACCCCCCTGGCTTTTGGAAGCATGACTGTAATGGAGTATCAAATGTCATTACGCAAGACATTTCAAGGTTGTTTTGAAATGAAAATCCTTCTTAATATCTCTTTATTGGATTTTCATGCTAAAATATACACAGGGAAAACTGCCACCCAAAACGTAATTATATGCAGATTTTGTTTAGTTTCTTAACAGTCACACTTTGCTTTACTGACTATATGAACACAATAGAGTAGCCCAGGAAATAGTACAGATAAGAACAGGCTGGCAAAACGTTCACAATATATGCAAACAAAAAGAGAGACGGAACATTTACAAATGCAAGAACCCCAGCCTACCCAATTGAGTATCGGTGTAATCGGTATCGGCAGTGTCTGCCAGAGCATGGTACACAAAATCCTCTGCAGAATGGGTGGGCGCTTTCCCTGACGTTTTTACAAGCCTGTTGTATAATAAAGGACTCCCAAGCAAGTCTTCAGGTGACAACTGGGAGGACCAGGTCTCTAGTGGACAAGAAGCAACGGACACAAGTTGAAACAAGAGAACTTCAAGCTGGATATAAAGAGGAAGATTCTTTCCCTGAGGACAGTCAAGCAGCGGAACCAGTAAGGTTTGGCAGGCTCCATCTTTGGAGGGTTTCAAGACCTGCCTGGAGAAAGCCCTGAGCAGCCTTAGTCTGATCCCAGAGATGGCCCTGCTTTGGGCAGGGGCTTGGACTGAAGACCTCTTGAAGCTCCTTCCCGCCTGAGTGACTCTTTGATCCTATAATTGGAGGCCTTTTAATAGAAATAATAAACAATGTTTGGTTGTTTTTAGGGAACAATCTTTAAAGATGACTCAGATCAACCTGAATCACTTTGCTTAGTGAGTTTCTCCTGGTACTCCTGGTGTAACCTGCTTCAGCGAGTCAACAGAAAATGACATTTTTTCTGCTAACGACTCTCAGTAGTCACTCTTAATGTAAAGTAACCCCATCAGAATTAAAAATAAGTGCATAATGTTTGAATAACCTGACCGTTTAATAAATCTTACTCTAAATGCCCATTTGTGGACAGCTGCTTTTTATTTAAAGCAAAAGGGTTAGTGCCTTTTTATTGCCTGTTCCTTAAATAAATTGCTTCAAACTGTTGGCTTCATTGACATATTTTGAAAATTAGTTCTATTACTTAATTATATACTGTGAAAAAAACCTACTTCTTGCCTGTAAGTTTTATGGGTTCCTGAGAACTCACTTAAAGTTTTAATGTCTTCAGTTCATACAATGGAGTTTTCAGGATTCAATGCTTTGAAAGCTTCAATCACATTTTATTCTTACTCTTCCCTTCTCTAGCATCTAATCTGTTCTCCAGAAAGTCAGAATCTTTCCCTGGCTTCCACAGCTTTCCATCACCCATTCAGGAACTTCTTTACAAAACCAATACACAATAAATATGATTATATATGTATATAAAAATACATACACATCACGTAACATGTATTACATATATACAATACCATTTTTATAAATGCCATTATATATATATGTATGCTTATTATAATATTTCCAATTTTATGCTCTCTCCTATTCTACCTAAGCTATTTCTACGCTATCTGTTGCATTTGTTAAACAGATTTTCACTGCTTTTCCATGACAGTGATCAATTTTCTGAAGAGTGACAACAAATTTATTCTGAAATGTATATGGACAATTATAATTGTTCTGTCCAGTTTTTCTACCTTCTGATTATGCACACTAGAGCAGCTATGACTCTGCCGAAGTCAATAAAGTTATAATAATTTAAAACAGGTAAAGATTTAATCTGCTGTATTTATACCTGCTCAGATGCCTATGATAAGACAAGGCTGATGTTTATTATCGTTTTCTCTAACACTGACTAATTTCAATAACTGACTGTAGTGTTGCTGCTTCTCTGTATAGTTCTGTACAATGTCAGAACTTTTTCAGATAATTTGGTTTTGTCCTGGAAATTAGCACATATTCTTTGATTTCCTTGTTAAACCTTCTCTAAGCCATAAAGGAAGGTGTTATCTCTGGCTAGTTCATAGATTTTAATGTTCTATCAAACAAGGAGAGAAAGATTTAGCAACCAAAGAGCTTTCTTAAAGAGATGCAGGAAAAACTGTCCCTCTTGGGATAACTTCTGAAGTTATTTAGTCACTTCTAGTTAGCTGTTCAATAAGTTCTGTTTCACTCCAATTCCAGTGGGCTGACACATACAGAAATTGCCCATTGTTCATGTAATGAAAATGTCAGTTCAGCCTGAGTTCTGAAACAGGAGGCATTTGTCATCCTTTTTAGAACACATTTGTTGAACATGTATCCTAGAAGATTTTCTCCTTTTGTATACAGCTTTGGGAGAAATGCCCTTGTAGCCAGTATGTTTTTCTCCTGTGTTTGTCTCCTTGCTCCCTGCAGATATATACATTTTATTAATAATATAATTAAAAAACAATAAAAGTCTCTGTATTATGTATGCATACATTCAAAACAGCTATTTCTTTGGTAAATTCCTTGACATGATCCTACTTAGCCTGACTGCACTGCAATTTTGCTATTTGTAAGAGATTCCAAATCAGCCCCTTACATCTTCCTGTAGGTGATGGTTCTAGCTAAAACATACAAGGAATGCAGCTGTATTTTAGAGTATCATCACAAGCGCTGCTGACAGTAACACGGTGATTAGAGTAATCCACATTATTTTTAACCTTTTTAAAAAGACTCCTGATCTTTTATAATTGTCAAGAAGGAATATTGCCTTGTGACTGCATATCATTTTCCTGTTTTTTCCCTTCCTCTCTGAATTCCCCATTCAGAGTCTTTGGAGACAAAATAAGAAAGCACACTCAAAGCTAGCAGTCATGATAGAGACTTCCTTCAGTATTTGGGCAGGCAGGAAGTAAGGGAATCTCTTATCCTGCTAGTTTGTTTGTCAGAAACCAATGCAATGAAACATTTTTTAGTCTTATTTACCTCTAAAAGCTTGCAGTTTAAAATGTCAAGAAAAAGCAGAAATGCCCTGAAAATAGCTGAAGGAGCCAATCTGCCCTCAGGCACACTGTTGTAGGTTCTTGAGGAAATCAGATATCATTCCTGCCCACTGAAGGAGGCAATGTCGGTAACCCAGTTATAAAAGCAAGCTCTGCTATGTCTCTGCTGCTTCAGGTGTTGCGTTTTAAGATGCAAATGTAAACCAAAGGACTTGATCATTTGTGACTTCAAAATCCCAATTCCATTTCTTTGCACTAGCAATAGGTTTTTCCTAGGTTTCTGGCCTACATCCAGTTAAAGCAACTATACATTACTACTTACTGAAACATTCTCTTTCTGCTCAGTTGATTATGGTATTATTCATCTTCTCTCCTGAAGTGTTGATATACTGTTGTAAACTATTAAAAGGTTCCTTGCCTTCTCCCTGAGGTAGCTGCATTTCAATGATGAGTGATGTAATTCCTTCAATAGAATAGTTGGTAATTGGTTTGCAAAGTTTAGCATGCACTCTGGGATCTCTTCAGGAAGGGCTATAAACAAGTATTCATCATTCTTACTCTCTAATATGTCATCCCTGGACCTTTCCTTAGCAGGTCTAAAAACTCCACAGCTGTGACTAAACATTACCATGCCATGGTGTATTGAAGCAATGTCATGATGTAAGGGCAGGAATTTTCATCAGTCAGTAGGGAAGCGAGGAAGTGAAAAAAGATTCAAGCTATTCACCTCAGAGATGCAAAGAACGAACAGTGTGTAAAAACCAGCACTGACTCATCTGGCAGTATCTATGGAGAACAGGGAGTAGAAAAGTTTTTGGAGTATAAACGCCAAGGTTTGGCTTTTGGTATGGTTAGGGGAGTCAGTAATATGATTAGAAAGGGAGATGCAGTTGGGAAATGTAACACTTGGAAAAAGAAGTTAATTATCCAAAGACTAGAAAATACTAACGTCCAAGTGTTCTTCACATCAACAGTAGCACAGTTCTTCACTTAATAGTCAGAAAATATTTGATCGTGATTAAAGGTGGAAGCATGGGAATGAATGCCTGCAGGAATAGGCTTCAAACCTAATTGGTTAAATAACCATCTCAAGCAAGATATTACAAATATGCAGTGTCAAAAAGTAACAGAAAAAAAGACTGGTTCATAAAAAAGTTATGTCTTAGAAGCTAGAAAATACAATGTAAAATAAGAATTGTTAAAATCAATTTGAAAGAGTCTCAGTGAAGATATTAAATCACAAATCAAAAAGGCGAGAAGGAAAGCTGCAGGACCTCTGTACCATCAAGCTGGGATAACGATTGAAAACAACAGACGGATGATGATTTTGGCCATGATGGCAAGGGCAGTGCATCTTGCTACATTACTGCAGTGTCTGTCTCCATTTTTAACAACAAAAATGAAGCACAGTGAGTCTACTTAGATTCCCATGCAGTTTTTCATGTGATGTGATGTGATGTGGAAAAGTATGAACTAAGCTGGAAATGATGGAATTGGCAGAGGAAACATGAGGTGAACAAGAAGCTGAATAAAGGTTAGATAGCCATACATCATACTGAAAAGGAATAGTATCAGGTTAAAAGTCAATAATGGTGACTTCCTGAAAGACCAGTCTTGGGGCTGATTTTACTTAGTGTTTTTATCAATATCCTTGACATCAGTCTGATGACAGCATGAAGTCAGGAGACACCATGCAGAGGGAACAAAATGACCAGGACATGAGCAACAGGCATGCAAAGTAGACTAGTAAAAACAATAATTAACGCTACAGAATTTCAATTTATGGTCAGCTATTCGGAAACCATTGAGGAAAAACTGAGGAAAAGCAGCTGATAACAAAATAGTAAGAAACCATCTCTGTGAGGAAAATGTAAACATGATCCCGGGATGTACCAGGAAAGTTCCAGGAGAAATAATGAAACCAGTAAATTCTGCAAAGCATTAGTAAGGCATTACCTGGAGAATTTTGTAGAAGTCAACATTCAGGGTGAAGTGAGACTTGAATCTGTACACAGAAAGTCTGTAAGAGCAGTAAGAGAAATGAAAATAATGTCCTATGACACGAAACTTTCAAGACCATATCTTATTTAGTCAAGCAAAACAAAGGCTGATGAGAGCCTTTCTTTGTCTACAAATCTGTCAAGAAAGAACTATGAAAAGAACCGCTTAACACTTGCCAGAAGAGTAAGTGAGCATTTAGTCTGGGAATTACAAGGTTTCTAATCATTAGAGCACTGAAGCATTGTAGTAGCTTTTCATTAGAAATAGCAATGGCAAGAAACTTAGCTACTTTTAGGAAGATACTTGCTCAGTTTAAGAAAGAGATTATATGATGTGGTTGCCTGCTGGACTACATAGGTAAAGAGATTTCTTCCAGACCTCTCTTGGCACTTCTATCCTTGCAGCGATCCTGGTGGCTCCACTTCATCAGATGCACTGAGACAGGAGTATCATGGGTCCAGCATAGGCCTACGTCTCTTCCGAGACGCAGAGGGCCAGACACAGCCGTGAAATGTTTGAGAAGTTTATGATGGAGACCTTTGAGGGCTGACTGGCAGCTACGAAGTCACGGGTTAAGCATTGCTGTATGAGAGGAATGGCACTGAATTCCAAATGGGATAGAGCCATACAGCTTAGCATAAACAAATGGTTATGATTCCTGTCAAGAACAATTTTCATCTCCATAAAGCCTAATTTAATAACATGGCACAGGCACCACTGAAAATGGGAATATTAGCTTTCCAACAGTTTCCCAAAATTGAAATAGAATCTGTTTTGGCAAAAACAGTACAGTTTTCTACCAAGAAAAACATTTTAGGTAGTTATATAAGCAATAAAAATAAATGTTTTATAAAATTCACCCAGAAGGACTTGTAAGTATTAAAAAACCCCAATAGTAATTGACCAGATTTCATGAAGTATGAAACAGCCAAAAATAACAACCAGTACAGCTGAAGATGGTGAAGTCATTTCTTCTACTGCACTCCAAAGCCTGACCACCTGTAGAGATTAAAAAAATATACCTGAAGAATTAATTTTTCTAATACGGACACAGTGCAAAAATCTGTCTCTTAACATGACTTCATTTTGTCGAAGTAATGGAATTTTATGCAAGCTTAATATGTTTTACAAGTACTTGTTCCTCTAGCACAGAAGCGCATCATTGGGAAGACGGATGAAACGAAGGAGTATCTACTGGACTTCCTTTTGCATTTAAAAAACCGGTGTTGTCTCCAGCCAGGCTCCTGCTCACCACAGGCCCCTGAAGCAACCTATTCTGCTCCACTGATGACTGAGGTCATTTAGGAAGAGCAGATAGATTAACATTGTCCTCTGTCAGAACCCGCCATTTTGACCCAAACGTGATAATCCTACTCTGCATCAGCCAAGGGATTTCCAGTAAAGGAAACCATTAGTATCGTCTCACAGGCTAAGATCTCTTTTAGTCCGTATGCGGACACCACGTTGAAAGACAGTAACCCCTATCAGAACAGGTTCACAAAAGAGCATGATAAGGACATAAATTAGTGGGCAATAATGATTAATTTTGTTGGTAAAATGAAAGTTGAGAGGGGTTATCGCAACACTTCATACGGGGGAATAAATTAAGAGAAAATAACATCTTAAACTAAAAGATAATACTAGTACAAGATCAGGTCCATGAATAAATTTACACTGGAAATTGAAGTTTTCTGAACTTCTGAGTTTCTAGAATTGCTTTACACACTAGACAGTGGAGCAAGGAACCTAAACTTTTAAGATAAATCTTGATAGTTTCATTTCTCTGACAGGACAAAAATGTTCCTTGAGTTAAAAACTGATCTTTGAATCTGTCATTATTAACCTCTGGACATCTGATTGCATTGACTTACCCCAAAAGACTGGACATAAAGGACACTTGCTTACTACTGGCTAATCATAATTCTTTGCATGTATTTCTGGTATATTAATTATGATTCTCCATAATTTCTGTTGGCTACTTGAAAAAGCATTGACTTTGAGGCTAAAGAGTAGCATGGTGATTTCACTTGGAAAAGCTGAAGGTGAGCCACAGCTAAAGGCAGAGGTAAGGCAGGATGCACTAATACTGAATTTTCAGCTAACTTTTCCAAGGTACCTGGCTGGTGAGCCCTTGGGGCGGGTACCACCAGCCTCTGCTCCTGCAGTGAGAATGGAATCGTTCCCTGCTGTAAGTCACGGAGATCCAGGGTTTACTGCTCTTCTTTTTGTCCACAGCGCGCAGGTGTAGTCCTTTCTCTTCAGAGAATTTACCCGAACAAATTTCTTGTTACTGCGAGGACTGAGTATACTGATGCTACTGTTTTTGACTTGCATGGATATGTGGAATAGATGTACTATGAACTTTCAGGACAAAGTATCTATTTCACAGTTCTTTGGAACAAAGGGTAAAGGATGAGACCCTCCCAGGAAGCAGGAACTCCCTTTCTGTGTTTTCCTACATTCCTACGCAAAGCTGAACGACGGTGGATACAGAAAAAAAGAGAATAAACCTGGCTTCAAAATGAGTTAGATGCCTCTATGAACTATAAGCTGCTCAAAACTCAAGTCGTTCTTCTGTAGGAATGGAAGATACCCTCTGTTTTACAGAGGCCATTTACAGTTGCGAGTGAGAAACGGAACTTGGTTATCTTTCCCTCCTTCCACAGCCAAAAATGGAGTCTAGCAAACAGGACACACCTCAACCCTTAAATGTACTTAAGGCAACGAAGATTAATCTGCTGGATTAGTCATGTTGTTTGTTGTTTTTTCTTTTCCCAAAACTGACGTTCTTTGAAATTATAACAAAAATAACAGTTTAAGATTCTGGCCTCTTTATTAGCATCACCCTTTTCCTTTATGACCAAAAGACATTCATCTCACTCTCAGAATTTGAGTGCTCAGTGCATTAATAATTGAACACAGACATTTCGTGGGAATTAAGAGCTCATACTCCTCTCTCCCCTGCTTTTGGTCAGAATTTGTTTGTTCATTTGTGTTTTGTTGTGCAGAGCAAATTATTAATTTGATCTTTCCTCTGGCATTTCCCCTCAATTCTGTTTTGCAGAGCCTCATTTTCCTTTCAGTTTGGGAGTTCGTAGGGTTGGACCTAAGGATTCTGTCAAGTGTTGCCGGCAAAGAATCGTAGCGACATATGAGGGTTGGACTAGATGACCCACAGAGGTCCCTTCCAACCCCTACTATTCTGTGATTCTGTGATTCTGTGATTCTTTCGTAACTGGAACAAAGAGCTTCATTTTAAGTCGAGCGTCAGTGTAAGTCTTTGCCCTGCGTGCCTGGCTGTAGAACTGCCACTCAGAAGCCTCCTCAGCACCTCCTTCGTTTGGCTTCCTGCTGGCCTGCCGTGCAGAGCTGGCACTTCTCATGAGGGAGAAGCCATCAATTTGGGAAGCCGGCCCCTTTCACAGGAGCCTTCGCGGACAGCCAGGTCACCTCCTGTGGGGATCGCTACGCCCACACAGAACTGACTTAGAGAGGGTTTTTTTAATGCTGGCTCGATTGACTCCGTACGACCGAGCCCGAGTTTCGGGAGA